ATTGTAAAAGATTATTATTGTGTACATAAAGATGTGGTGGAATCCGGCTTGTCCCGTAGATGGTCTGCTCACGCGCTTTAACCTCGAGTACGAGCAGATCCGATTCCTCTCTGGAGAAGCATTCAGTTTTTCCCGCTTGCAAATTCCGCCATGTAAATAGCGAATCCGCCATGGCACGAGCGAAACTGGCTTTTAAAGGGAATGGGAGATGAGACTCTGATATTGCACGTTATGCCCAAAACACAGCCATTACTCATCAAGAGAATAGGGACAACCCTTTCAGACCACGCGCCGGGTGCGCCGACCATTTTTCCCGTCGTTAAACTTTCAAAAGTGGATTCGGACACGTCCTAAGTGCACTTGTGCCATGCGCTTTAAATCTAAAATAGGATCGGTAAAATAGGGCCCTTTATTTTGATGGTCCCCCAACTGACATTCTATAAGTAACTTTGCAAGTACATGTCTACTTCTTCTAACCTGAACGCTAACCCTAACAGTCTACTAATACTCTGAGAGTTATTTGACATGTAGTTGCAAAGTTACTTATAGTTAAGTAGACCATCAAAATAAAGTGTAACCTTATATTCTGCTATTCTCTCACCTTTTCTATTTTACTCCTATCTGTTCTAAACTATCCAGATGTTCCATTCTGATTCTAATTTGTTTCATTTTATCCTCTATGAGATGAATCCCAACTGTTTTCTAAGTGTCGCCTTGCAATGTTCTTCTCTGATGAATCTCACAGACTCTTTTCTCTCTCTCTCTCTCTCTCTCTCTCTCTCTCTCTCTCTCTCTCTCTCTCTCTCTCTCTCTCTCTCTCTCTCTCTCTCTCTCTCTCTCTCTCTCTCTCTCTCTCTCTCTATGTCTTTCTTTCTCTCTCTCTCTGTCTCTCTGTGTGTGCTGGTTTGAAGCCTCAGGCCCTGGCTATGCTCTGATTGGTTTTATTGGCAGTGGTTCAAGACTGTCGGCTTCCTGGTGGCTTTCATAATGAAGATGGTTCTGCACATAAATGATAGTGGAGCAATTTCCTTTTCATTTAATCGGGAAGAAAGCAAAGTGCCTCCATAAGTGTATCATTCCGTGTCAGAATGACCAGCACTTCTACATTCATCACAACATCCCCTTTTGAGGTTAAAACAGAACAAGGCCTGTTTAATCTACAGCAGAGCGGCTTAAGGACACTCTCAAGAGAGCAGCATATAACTCCAGAAAGAAAGATCAAATAAACAGGATGACAAAACCACATACTGATGTTAGTAGATTTCTGCACAGTAGAACAGTTAAAATGATAGTGCACCCAAAAATGAAAGTTCTGTCATCATTTACTCATCTTCGTGTCATTCCAAACCTGAATGACATTCTTTCTTCTGCTTCTTTGTCATTTGTAAAGCTTGACGGGATCTGTCGACATTCACTTTCTTTTCATTGTAAGGGAAAGAAAAGAAATTCTGCTCCATTTGTGTTCCACTGAAAAAGGAAAATCATAGGGTTTGGAACGACATGGCGGCGAGTAAATCATGACAGCCTTTTCATTTTTAGTTTTATATTCTTTTAAAGCAAGGTACACCTTAATAAGACTTTTTCCTTGTCATACCATCAGCAGAAGAGTAATAACCAGCACAGACAGCATGGCAGATCTTCACACATGCACAGTGGAAGCCATTTTCATATGTTAATAGTGAAGATTATGCAATCAGTGAGAGGAGGAAGAGTCGTTCAGGTCTTCTGGTGAGAGGAGTAGAAAAGGCAATCGATAGGAGAGAGAAGAATTAAAGGGCAAGTGAGAGAATACTTATTCAACACCCACAATTGAGAATCACAGAAACCAGTGCTGCTCCCAAATCAAGAAAACCCCTTATCACATTGGATAGAGGTTTGGATGAGCAGAGAACTGAGAATGAAATGTGTTACTACATTGGTTATAGTTGTAAAAAGCTGCTTATAGTTCACCCAAAAACGAACATTTTGACATCATTTATTCACCTTCATGTCATTTCAAACTTGTTTGGCTTTCTTTATTCTGTGAGATGTTTAGAAAAATGTTCACGCTGCTCTTTTTCATATGAAGTACCATAAAAAGTGCCATAAAGTAGTTCATATGACTAGTGCACAGTTTTGAAGCCGAAAAAAATTGCTTTATGCAAGGAACAGACTTTCAAGTAATTCTAAGAATGTTGATTTCAACCATCACATAATAATAATATGAAAGTAATAATAATTATTATATTATATAATCCAGTATGAACGCACGCTGGCCACACGCTCTCCTAAAACGCAGTTTTTTTTACTCACCCCTGTAATTAATGCAGCTGTGTTGATGAACGACATAAGCATAAATTAGATGTAAGTTTGTGGGGCTGTGAAGGTTTGGGGTGATAACCTGTACCGGAGTATAACAGGCAGACAATTTATCCTTGTTTGTAGATCATTAGTGGTAATTAAGACTAATCTATCTCCGTTTTTAAACTTAGCAGGAAGCACATTTGTAACCATGGTGACTGTTACGATCTCAGCGTGGTATGAAAAAATGTCTCTGTCTTGCATTTGTAGTGATTTGTGGGAAGTTTCCTAGTAAACGCTCGGCACTGACACTTATAGAGGCCCAAGCGAAACTGCATGGTGACATTTCATCAAAACATTGGAAAACCGTCCACCCAGGCCAACAGTTCAGCGATAATGGTTTAATGAAAGATTTAACAGCGTGCACTAAGGCCTCAGAACGTCACGTGACCATAGTGACAAACTCTGCTCTTCTCATCACCTTAATTGATATTATTATGTGTCCAGATCTTCAGGAGTTCCTTAAGGGTTCAGATACGCCCGCTGAGATCTAAACTGAACATTTTGGGGATGAAGAGATTACATTTTATCTCTTACTGTATATTAATGTCAAACTGCTGTGTGATCTTGCACAACACCCACACCGTGGTGAGTTTACTCATAATGCTCTGTTTGAGAGGGAGACGTGTGCCATCTGCTGGTGAATCTGTTTATTGATGGTGCTAAATGTTTAGGAGTGGAGACAGTAAAGACTTATACAAAAAAATAATACGTTCAAATACATGCGGTTCATCAAAGAATCATGAAAAAAGTATCAGTTTCCACTAGAAATATTAAGCAGGAACTTTTTCAGAATTGACCATAATACATTTTTCTTGAGCGTCAAATCAGCATATTAGAATGATTTCCGAAGGATCATGTGACACTGAAGACTGGGGTAATGCTGAATGAAGCTTTGCATCACATGAATAAATTACATTTTAAAATATGTTAAAATAGAAAACAGTTTTTCAAAAACATATCATACAGATCTCAAACTTTTGAACGTACTACACTATAATGATCTGTTACCATAGGCTACCATTGTACTTGACTGCAAGGTAAGGTAAAATTAGATAAAATCAACTAATATATTTGTATGCATATAAAAAAAAAAAAAAAAATTAAGAAGGTCTTGGAGAGATGTATTTTTGTATTTATTGGTACTCACTCCAAGCATCAAGTGAGGCACAGAAGTTTGTGTTCACATTCTACCAAACAGCACACTGACTGTAGGCAGAGATACGGGAGTGTTGTGCAACAAGACAAGTGACACAAAACAGTTTTCAGTACAGGTCACAAGAAACAGTGTAGAAAAAAGAGCTGTCTTTTACCATGAGATGTTTATCGGTGAGTCTGTGCAGGTCATTTCCAGTGGTTTAGCATTTCATGGTAATGCTTTGCCTGTACGGATGTTAAAACAGATTCGGTGTAACACTACCATTATGACATGTTGGTCTGTCATATGAACCTGCAAATGTCATGAATCTAATGCTTTGTGAATGTAATTAATCCAATGTTAAAAAATGGTCAAATTTAACCTGAATTTTTTTCCAAACTCCCATTTGGAATTGATTGGATAGAGAAAAGAGGGTGTTTCCATACCAGAATGGAGCCTGGGAACATCTTGACATCACATAAGGTAATTTTCTAGCTATTGTTAAAGCTAAAGCTATTGTTATGTGGTATTTTTGCCGAAACGTTTACGTATTTGCTGTAAAACCATACATTAATGTTGTTTGGCAATACAATTAAAGGTGCAGTAAGCGATTTCTGAGAAACACTGTTAAAAAGTGGATCAGACCGATCACCACAACAAACTTGTAGCCAATCAGTATTAGGGGGCGTGTCCACTCATGATGGGGGAGGAGAAAGAGTGTTGAAAGAGAGATGACTGAGAGACATTATGTAGGAGAAAAGGTCAGAAATATCACTGGAAAAAGAAGGGAAATGTTCAGACAAGAGCTTTAGGAGCCGTGTTGATATTAGAAAAGCTTTCCAGCGCTGGAGAGACCTGAGCGGGAAAGCTGTTTCACAGAACCAATGTGCTGTTGTTGTAATGTTTGTTATATAACTAACAGGACAGTTTTGAGTGTCATTGTTTGTCTGTAGCTAATGTGCTGCTGGCGACTTACATCCAACTCTTGCTTGAATATACAGTACTCTTGTGTATTTTTTTGTTCTTTCTTGTCGTTTATTCATCATCTTCCCTTTATTTTTGCGCAAAGGATTATTTTGCTTTGGTTTAGCTATGATAAAGAGTCCAGAGACATCCACTCTGGCATTGCGTGTTCGTGCGTTTTGGGGGTGGAGCAATGAAGAGAGGGGTGTGTTTGTTTGGGTGGATTTCAAATATCAACAGTGTTTCTCAGAAATCGCTCACTGCACCTTTAAAGTGTAAACCTTTGGCGAGATTTTACAATACTTAAATAGCTATTTGGAAGTTTGTTAACTCTGGTGGCTTAGGTGACATCTGCCGAAAAAGAACGTTCTATTTACGAAAGAAAAAAATATCACATTTCCACAAAAATATTCAGCATCACAATGATAATAATAATAATACACATTTCTTGAGCACCAAAATCAGCATACTAGAATTATTTCTGAAGGATCATGTGACACTGAAGACTGGAGCAATGATGCTGAAAATTTTGCCATCACAGGAATAAATTATTAAAATTAGAATAATATTTCACAATATTACTATTTTATTGTACTTTAATTAAATAAGTGCAGCCTTGGTAAGTATGGGAGACATTTTACCAACCCCAAATTTTTTAACGGTAGTGTGCGCGTAAATAACAAGTTTGGGGATACAATAAAGCTCTTGATCAGGTCATCCAGTCACATGACATCCTCCTTCAAGGGGTAATTGAGGTCACATGACCAGTGCAGTTCCAACTGAACTCCTATTCATCATCTGGAACTGAATACTAATTACAAACAAACCTTTTAGTCCATGACCCTTATCCAAAAAAGCAGCTGACATGTAAACTTACAGATGGGCTGTACAGTGGTCGGGTATTATGAGTATGATTAGCACAACTAGAAACAAAAGACTGAGAGTTTACGTTACTGTGATATCAAATAACTGGTGGAGTTACATGATGGTGACCCTCTCAGGTGAAACGTGGGCTGCTGGTCTCTCGTGGTTGGTACGGCTCTGACTGGGGTCTAATCCACGCCTGATCTGTTTCAGCTTCCGGCTCACACAGGGAAGCAGCAACACCACTTTTCCGATTATCACCGTGACGGGTAGAACCAGAGCCAGGACAAAATTGGGTGGCATGTAGAAACGATAAGACTCCTCCAGAAACGCCCGCTGCCAGCCGAAGAGCAGAGCGTGGAACGTGGAAATGAGCAGTGCGATGTAACCTAGGGTAGACTGACAGGATATAGATGCTTATTGACATCATATTTATCCGAAAATGCAAGATGGGGAGGTGGCGTGACCTGCCTATTGATGTCTTACCTGGATAAAGCTAAACTCTCGCCAGTTGAGCGCGTTATGGATGGATGGGATGGAAGTGACAGCTAATAGAGAGAGAAGCCCCAGAGCCATGATGCCAAAGGAAACGTACATCTCCACTCTCCAAACTTCCTCTTCGTTCCATGAGTTCTCTATATTGGCATGCACCTACAGAGAAAAAAAAAAAAAAAATTTATTAAATGTATTTTAATATAACAACAGGTTTTTAATATACTTTATATACATACCTTATATTGCAATATTCCTATTTTTATTTTTTAAATGTGTAATAAAGATATACAATGCATATTAAAGATTTATTTTACATACACAGACTCATTTTAAATGTACATTTATTGATAACATTTTAATTATAGGGTTTGGTGCATAATATAAAAAAACAGGAAAGCATTTTTATCAGTGCTCAACTGACATGACTGAAGGCTGATATAACACTCATAACAAAATACATACAAATTTCATTAATTAAAAATGCAGATTTTATTCAATTAAAATTACTAAAACAAAGCACAATATTTACTCAAAAATTCATAAAAAAAATAACAGAAATGGTTAATTATCCATCGAAACGGCTTCTGTTATTGTCTGGTGAGGTTTTTTAACTGATGCAGATCATTTCAAAATAGACAATTATGAGCTTGGTCATATTTAATGTACTGCATATTAATAATATTGGTGGTATTCTTGTTACCACATCTGTATGTATTTATGGATATATTTATTTATTTACTTATTTGTGATGATCAATAATAATAATACTAATAATAACAATAATTATGAGCATCATCATCATAAATAATAAATGCATACAGATAAAATAATAATCATAATAATATTTGTATTATTATCTGTATATATTTATTTTGTATTTAATTATTATTGTCATTATTATAATGACCATCATCATAATAAATAAATACATAAAGATATAATAATAATAATAATATAGTTTTTATTAATATTATTGTAGCTGTATATATTTACTTAATATTTAATATTATTATTATATTGGCTTCAAACAGTCCAGGATGCTCAGGATGGTTTCAGTGGAATTGCTGGATCTCAAAGATGTAAAACACACACACACACACACACCTGCTGATAGGCCATGTTGAGCATCAGGTATCTCTCTGAGCGTCTCATGGGCAGGCAGAGGCTGTACAGCACGTGTATGCAGCCAAAGAAGAAGCTCAACAAACCCAGCTGTTTGCGGCTCTCCAGCCAGCCCTCCAACCAGGACGGGAAACGCCGGTACTTCGTCCCGTAGATGAGCTGGTACACGGCAGCGAGCTGTCCTGCCAAATACACCAGTGCTAGCAGAACTATGGCCACTACAGGCAGCGTCCTGTTCACTATTTCCAGAGGAATCTTGTAGAAAAAACTCTGTCTGGTTTTCATATAAGGATGGATGATGTCCCGCACAAAGGAGTAAGCGAAAAAGAAGATGGACAATGCGACGGTGGTCAAAACAGGTCCTTTCCAGGCTGTGAAGAGATGCAGTGGCATATTCTCGATCTCCTTGGCAGAGGAGAGGGCGCCCATGTCCACAGGGATGAAACTGAGCTGACGGGACATTTCAATGAGCTGCTGTCGAGCGTCTGCCGAATTACTGCAAATATACACCTATATAAAGAGATTACAGGCAATCAATAATCATTCCTTTTACAAACTTCCTTCATTCACAACAGCAATTAGGCGGATAGATTGTGAATGGCAGATTTTCAATGTGGTGTCAGACTTATGAATCCCATATATTTATGAGTCGTTAGAGATGCACAATACATGTCGGTATCATATTGTTTTTTTCTTATTGGTTTTGAATTTATTTTAAATTGACAAGATCATTTCCCTTATTATGGCATTTTAAAACCTTTTGCCATCATCGAACGCTCCTTTAAAGTTCATCTTTAATAGATTGATAAATTAATAAGACTATTAAATGTAATCTTGAGCACATCTCAGATTGAATATATATATTTTCTTACTGTACATTATAATCTTGTGGTGCCTTAATTCACATGTAACATTTAAAACAGTCGGTTTTAGTTTTTAATGTTTTACTTTTATTTCATTTATTAGAAAATATTATAGAATAACATAAAATAATTATCAATAAATCGTTATCGGTACAGGCCAAGTATAATATCAGTGCATCCCAAGTAGCTAGAAATACATTGCATGGAAAACAACAGAAAAAAACTATTTCCAATGAACTAGTGTGAATGCTTTTATACAGTAAGAACTATTCCCTAGAACCCATAACTAAAGTGCAATTAATCCATTGAGTTTATAAGCGTTCAAAATTAGACTGAGATAAGAGTAGGTTTATGGCACGGCTTTAATGGATCTTTCATAGTGTTAATAAAATCTATTCCTCTTTCAGCTCAGAGATTCCACAGCTCATCTGTTCATCATTCTAATCAGCTCTTCACAGAAACTCAGACATTCACATTCACTGCTGGCTGGAAGAGGTCTCTGTTAATACAGAAGACATAATCCTCATTGTCGTCTTCCTCCTCCTCATCATCATTCCTTGGATACTAAGTCCAAAAGAAGATGTTTTAAAGAATGTCTGTAAACAAACAGTTGACTTCCATAGTATTTTTTCCCCATAAAAAACGAATTTGGTTACCCATATTCTTCAAAATATCTTCCTTTGTATTCATGTTGTGTTTTGTGTACTATAATAGTATATCAATAACACTGGTAGTGTATAGATTGAACGTGATGTCACCAAGTACAACATGTTCCTGGAACAACATTCCAATCAACCAATCATATTTGAGGGACACGTTTACAGTTTATTGAACGGTTTATGTAAACCTAAACCTTTATGAAGGTTTAGGTTTACAACCAGGGTGAGATGCTTCTACATCAGTGTCATTCACCTCTCATTTCCCTCTGATTTTAGGGATAACATGGGTTTAGGTTTATTAGTAGGGGCGGGGGTCATAAGGACTGAGGTTAAGCCCAGGTTGAGACACTAGTGGCCAGGCACACGTGGTAAAGTTTCAGGAGTGACATTTAAATGGAAAATGGTACACTGAATTACACTGAAGTACAATGAATTTTGGACAACATACCTGTCGACTGGAGTCTCTGGGGCCTGACTGCATGGCCCAGGACGAGATCACATTGAAGCCTTTGACCACAATGGATTCTGGGAATAGGGAAGCTAGGTATTCTGCGTTTGATTCTGGATACTGGTTCACCCGTCTGTTGTTGCTGACATCCACCAGTATTTTTCCTGCCAGCAGGTGCTTGATGTCCCAGAGAGAGGAATAGTGCTCTCGGCGAATGGCCAGGAACACGATGTTGGTCTTCCCCACTGCATCCTCGTGATGGGTCACGTCTACCACATGCGGGAACGACTCGGCCGCTCTCTTGGGCTGTCGGCTCCCCACCACCACATGAAACCCACTGCGGAGCAGCCGGAGGGTCAGGCTTTTGGAGAAGTCCCCAGATCCGATGATGCCGACTGTGGGCTTGCCAGATCCCTCGCTGGAACCGTTCTTCAGCCCGTTGGGTAGGAAGCAAACTTTGGTGCTGGCCGGGCTGCTGCCCAACAGGGAAATAGAGTCCATTTTCAGGCCCAAAGCACCTCGTACTGGATCTTAGGACACTAATGGAATAATAATATTTTGTTAAAAGAGATCTCAGATGGCTATTTTGTTTTGTGCCATTTAGTTAAAAGAGAATCTCTCTAGATTTGTACCCCAAAATGTATCCGTGTGTGTATACAGGGCACCGTGCTATATATTTATATGCACAAAAAAGTATCTATTGTATTGTTAGGGTTAGGGTTTTCATTATTGTATTAAATTAATAGAAGTCTAATGGCAATCGTCATTGAGAATAATGAAAATTATAAATAAGTAAAATATAAGTTTAAAAGTGAAACATCTGGACAAATTATGGTCAAGAAATTTGGATGAGAAACGTGCCTAATTGTCATGAAAATAACAATGCAAATTAAGCTAATAAGTCAATAATAACTATAAATAATTACTCAATAATAAAGTTATGTTAAATACAATCTATAAGTAAATGTTGGAAAATAATATTAAGATCCACAGGTTGGATGCAAGGTGTAGGGTTTCATGTATTAAATGTTAAAATGTATTCCAAAAAAAGAATACAGAATAGAAAAGAAAAGAATGGAATGGAATAGAATAAAATAGAATAGAATAGAATAGAATACCATGGAATCAAATTCTGTATGACTTTGAAATCTCAGACAGGCTGTGTGACCTGTTAGAGCGCCAAAGGTCTGGTCATATGCAAACAGCAGAATATAAATAATTGTTTATTCATAAAAAGAAGTACCGAAACCATATCTATATAATTGCAGTGGCAGGTAACGGTTGCTCTGTAGATCACGCATTATGAGCGTAGGATAGAGGATGACGCACCCGATTATATATAATTTAATTGCGAAAAACATCTCAAGGTTATAACGTTACCTGTGATGGACTCTGCCGTGACACCATCGAGCAAACGGATGAGATGGATATGTCCCTCACCGGTGACTGTTTACCCGCCCTCTGTCCGTTTGATTTGTAATGACCCACACCGCTATTTTCGCATACAGAGACTCGGTGTCTCTTACATTGCGCTGCTGCTGTTACTAGCCAATAACTGATGTTTCCTCCAGGGGCGCGTGAAGGCTCAAAAGCCGATTTTCCACATTGACGCAAATTCAAATTTCAAAACGCTTTTCATTTCACTGGAAGTATCTGCGCGCGTAATAGTATAATCATTTTAATCTATCAATTTTATTATATTTTTAACCTGTCACACAAATAGAAATCCCTCCCAGGAATCTTAATTAAATAATTGTGCGATACCCTGATCAATTAATCACGAACGAGCGTGATTAGGCCATCCTGATCGGCGCTGAGAAAAAAAACAGTTAGCACGTGACAAAATCGTCATGGCGCTGCTAGAGCAAGGATCTGTCTATGGCAAGGATCCAAACAATAATTGATTCCTAAAAAAATAAACTTAGAAAACTGTAACAGTCGTTATTTAAAACATACACATTTAAGAAATAAAATAGGAGCATTGTTATTTACACCGACCGTTCGTTTTTGACAGTTAATAAATAACTTCCGGGCCGCTATGCACCTACTCAACGTAAACCACGTATCATTATCATTTGCCGTTCTTCTTTATTCAATTTCTCTGCTGTTACATGTTGGAGTGCTGCAGCATGTCTCAGATCTGCTGTGTGAAGAGAAGACAGTCCTCTGCAGTAGACGACATCTCTGGGTTGATCTAGGTTGCTCACTTAATAGTAGGTTCAAACCCCACAACACTGTAATGAATCACCATTGTGGCTTTGAGCCAGACACTGTTATGATTTTTAGATATTTTTTACTGGAAAACAAGGTGCTAAAAACAAAAGGTAAACAAAAGATGCAGTTCAGGTAATAAGGCAAAAATTGTTCATCTATTTTCATCAAAATGAAACTCGCCATATTAGAATACACATAAAATACCGGTTTAACTTTAAACCTTTGAAATATGCAAATTATGCAATGACATATTAATGCACAAGTGATAGAGCCCCCACAGAAAAAGAAACCTATTTTTTGTTGCAATGTGATAAACAATTCATCCATTCATCATTTTCTCATGGAATTAAATAAACATGCTTTGTGTCCTTAAAATAAAATGCCAAAAAGTCTTAACAATTACAAACAATACAAAATCACACAAATCATATATATATATAAAATGTTTTAAATTCTATTTGACATTATTTTAAATGTTTTTTTTTAGATATAGGAGTGGCGATATCACGATTTTTGAACGTGGACGATTAAAATGTCTCCACGTTCTGCTTTTGAAGAAATATCATATCGTGCTACAGTGCATTCTATCAGTTGCAGTTCTGGCGCTGGTGTTGGTGTTCGTGCCGGTGTGTCAGTGTCTGTGCTGAAGTGTCTGTGCCGGAGTGTCCTTGTCCGTGCTGGAGTGTCCGTGCCGGAGTGTCCTTGTCTGTGCCCGAGTGTTCATGCCCTTGCCGGATTGTCTGTGTCCGTGCCGGATCGTGTCCGTGCCGCGGTGTTCGTGCCGGACTGTCCGTGACCGTGCCTGAGTGTCCATGCCGGTGTCCGTGGCCTGAGTGTCTGTGCCGGAGTGTCTGTGCCGGAGTGTCCGTGCCGGAGTGTCCGTGTCGGAGTGTCTATGTTCGTGCCGGATTGTCCGTGCCGGAGTGTCCATGTCTATGCCGGAGTGTCCGTGTCTGTGCCGGAGTGTCCGTGTTCATGCCGGATTATCTGTGTCTGTGCCGGAGTGTCCGTGCCGGAGTGTCTGTGTACGTGCCGGAGTGTCTGTGTCCGTGCCGGAGTGTCCGTGCCGGTGTCCATGCCGGAGTGTCCGTGTTCGTGCCGGATTGTCCGTGCTGGAGTGTCTGTGTCCGTGCCGGAGTGTCCGTGCCGGAGTGTCCGTGCCGGTGTCCATGCCGGAGTGTCCGTGTTCGTGCCGGATTGTCCGTGCTGGAGTGTCTGTGTCCGTGCCGGAGTGTCTGTGTCCGTGCCGGAGTGTCCGTGTTCGTGCCGGATTGTCCGTGTTCGTGCCGGATTGTCCGTGCCGGAGTGTCTGTGTCCGTGCAGGAGTGTCCGTGCCGATGTTCGTGCCGGAGAGTCCGTGCCGGTGTCCGTGTTCGTGCCGGATTGTCCGTGCCGGAGTGTCCTTGTCCGTGCCAGAGTGTACGTGCCGGAGTGTCCGTGTCTGTGCCGAAGTGTCAATTTTCATTTTTGGGGGAACTATCCCTTTATTGTTAATAAAACAACAAAAAACAAAGAGAAAAGTTCTCACTGCTCTGAGAACTTTAATAGTAGCTTTAATAAGTATCAATGCATAATTTATACAGTGAAGTCTATGTAGTGTTTTATTTTTATATTTGTTGATTTAATTTCTTTCTAGAATGCTTCTGTTAAATACACCTACTGTAGCTGAAAAAATAAAGCAGTTTATTTAATTTGTATAGTATATGTTGTATGTAATGTGTATCTTTGTTCTTATCTTTTAATAACAAACAAAATAATGACACTTTTTTTTATGTTTGCCACTTTGGCCTAAATGCCTGCCATTCTTTTTTATTTTATATTTTGTAACCTTGTAAGGCTTTGTTTTTAAAATAGAGACATTAGTTTGGCTGTAATGCTCAGTCACTTGCAAAATATTAAAACCAACATGAAAGAATCGTGATAAAATCGTGAATCGTGATTTTCCTGAAAAATATTGTGATATATGTTTGCCATATCTCCCACCCCATTTAGATATCACTTATCTAATTTATTTGGATTTATTTTATTTTTTTACTTGGAATACAAACTTTAACAGACCTCATTAAAAACTTCCATTTCCTGTGCAATAATATTCTGTTCTCTTCACCACGTCTGTTTCTAACACAATGCAAAGCTTGTAATCTGACCACAATGAATTGCACATCGCAGGTGAGCAATGTAAGAGCAATGCACTGTGACAAAACCCTTTCAGCCAAACGTCAAGAAGCTGATGACATTTTCACGTAAAAGGGATTGAAACCATTCATTAAAATGAAAATCCCTGCTATGGGCTGCACAACAGATTACTGGGAAAACTGCAAATAATGACACATCCCAGTGTTTCTCACTCAACCGCATGTACAGAATGGCCAAAAACAGAGAGGATAGATAGATAGATAGATAGATAGATAGATAGATAGATAGATAGATAGATAGATAGATAGATAGATAGATAGATAGATAGATAGATAGATAGATAGATAGATAGATAGATAGATAGATAGATAGATAGATAGATAGATAGACATTATGCTAGACTATTGGTGACACTGCAAGTAGACTGTGACATTTACTGCTTGACTTTGTGTCAAAATCTGTGATACCTTAAGGTCCTTTGGCAAGAGTGGAGGGACCGAGAGAGCCTTCAGCAAGAGCATGCTGACGACAACATGCCAATTTCTCTTAAAATAGCATCTTCGCTCTTTCCTCCAGCCCTCCGATGAGTTCACACACTGCTGTTTACCCCTCTTCTTCTTCAACTTCTGAGCAACGTCAGGACAGCAGCTTCAGGCCTGCACAAACAGCAACCATGTTGTTCCTGACCAGAATAGTAAGAGTTTACCATTTTGTGAGACATGTGATGCTGCAGAACATCCTTGAGGAGTGTGTGCGTGGAGGTCTGAAGGAATATGATATGACTTGCCGAGTACCAGTTTGTGCATTGTCTTGGCAGAATACAAAAGCTTGGTTTGAGGCCTTTTTTTGTCTCGGTTTATATAATGCAACTTTGTAAAAATGCACTAAAATGTGCATGCTCAAATTTCCTTCCAAAAAATTACAAATAAATTGTATATGCAGTTGTGAGGGAAAAAGTAAAAACAAAAGAAGATGTTTGACATTGGACCCCATTGGCTTTCATAAAAAAAAGTAGGCTCCAAAAAAAACCATCTTTGTGTGTGTGTGTGTGTGTGTGTGTGTGTATGTGTGTGTGTGTGTGTGTGTGCTGGTAAACCCTACATTATGGGGACAAAATATCCTCAACAAAGAGAACAACATGAGGGTAAAGAAATGATGACAGAATTGTTCTTTTTGGATGAACTTTACGAGTTTCTTCCTGTTCTTGTCCAAACTGTCCTGCAGTTTTTCTTTCCCGAATCCCTAATGTTTGTTCCAGTTTCTGTACTCCATTTAAATAGGTTTAAAGTCTATTAAGAATATGATTTTTTTTTTTTGTCCTCGATGGAAACGGACATCAGGGACTTTAATTCTATGTCTGCAAACTCACTTTAAAAATGTAATCGTTCTCCCTTCTCTCAGATAGAGACTTATGTGAGACTATAGTGAGCTCAACGTTCACACACACCCTGTTGGCCCGTTTCTTTTTTGAGAGCTCAGTTGATGTTCTAATTAAATTAGTCAATTTCCCCCCGCAGCCTCACTCATGACCATCCTATGATTCTGTTTCTGTCCTGTAAAGACCTCTCGAGAAACGTTCAGCATTGACTGAACTAGTTGCAGCTGGAGACTTGCAGAATAAACATGCGTTTCTCTAACTTGCTCTTTATTTGTATTGTGACATTAGGATCATCTGAATTCTGCTCCGCAGGACCTCTACACGCACAGTGCAAAGTCGAGTGGTAAAGTATCATACTCATTTCTGTGACTTTTTTATTTTATTTTTTTTACTGGATTAAAGAATACAAAATCTTTAGCATTAGATTAGCTTACTTCTGTAAGCTATAACTGACTTTAAACAGTTATATACAGTAGTTGAAAAGAAACTGAAATAATGCAGGTAAATGTATTTGTTTATATTATAATTATATAATGTTTATATTTGCATAAGTAAATTATTATAAGGTTTTGATTAGATAAAAAGTTATGAAATGTTTTTTTAACAGTGTTGTTTGTTTTCAACTGCTTATAGATCAAGTTTTACTTTATATGTTTTAAAGGAGTAAAATGTAATCAGTCTATTTTTTTATCTGTTCTACATTTTTATATTTGGTTATGTTTATACATTGTTTCATGTCTAATTTTTCTTATTATGAATGATATTTAAGTTATACAATTATAGAGTTTTATAGAAAACAGCTTTTCAAGTTAGATGTGGAGTTGGGAAGAAAAGCAATTTGAGTGTTCAATGATCATGCAGGCTACTATATATTTAAAGTCCCCCTGTGGTGAAAACAAAGTTTTTAATGTTGTTTATATGTCTATGTGGTGTTTTTAATATGCTTTAAGACAAACCATGTAAAAATTCATAAGTCAACAGCATTGCTGAGTATTTTCTCCTTAAAACTGCGGTCTCGAAAACGCGGTGTGAAATCGCTGGTGTTTCTCACGTCACAAACTATCTTGTAACCAATCAGGTCAACGTGTGATCGTCAACGAGTGGATCTCTGAGCTGGTGCGAGTGAGTGGAGGCGGGGCTCATTTGCATATTCATAGAACCGCGTATACTAAATGAGGCAAGGGTGTAGAGTTACATTCAAGCTATTTTAAAGCATGACACATTTTTTTTCAAGGAAAAAAACGTTTAAATATGTCATTTTAGTGAACAAAGGTGAGTTTTAAGTGATAAAATGACTACAGGGGGACTTTAATTTTAGTGGGCAGTGCAATAGCTTCGTTTTCCACTAGGTGGCAGCATTTGTATGGAGTTGAGAGCGACGCAATTGATTCAGAACTTGTGTTCGACTTTTCCCAGGTATTTCAGTCTCCCTTGCAGGAGTGTGTATGAAGCTCTGGTCACACAGATTAAAAAGTGGAGGACAGTCTCGACCTGTGCCATGGGAGGAGAGAAGTGTCTCTACAAGGTGTGTGTTTTGATCCAAGAAGATGTGTGTGTATATATTTCTCTGAATAACTTGCATGAATATTTTGCTCCTTCTCTCTTTTGAAGTTGCAGTCTGCATCTGTGCACTTCATATCAGCCAAACACACAACGCCAGTAAAAAAATATGTTGATGACATCAACTTCAGACTCGTCTCCTATGGATTTTTTACACATTGCCACGTGTCTGTAAGTGTAATGGAAATAAATTTGACTTATTTTATGTAGAAGTATCATGTTTGGCCAATCAAATAACCAGTTTTTATTTGTTCTCCAGGCCATGTCAGTGTCAGAGACCTGGTATGTTGTCACAGATCACGGCACCAACTATTGTAACCTCTACAACTTAATGGAAGGTAGGTCAAAATACAATATATAGGCCTAAGGCTGCATTTGAATAATTAAACAACATTAATGTAAAGAGTAAAGACAAATCCAGCTTCTGAGGTTTATTGTCTGTGTGCAGGCAGCGGTCTTACTGAAGCTCCAGGATATAAAGAGATCACCAGTGACTTCCTGTGCACTCAACGGTCATCTGCTAACTGTACCGTCTACTAGCACTGACACATGTTCATACTTTTTATATCGAAATTGGAATTTAGTGGCTTTTACACTCTAAGAAAGGTTCAATGGTTTCTTAAAGAACACTATGCTAAAAAGGTTCCATGAAAAGAGAAATTAAAACTTAATTAAACCTAAATCCATAACATTATCACATCATGGGAACCCCTAAATGTTCTATATATGAAGCGCTGACAGAACCCTTTAAGCTTCTTTATAGAACGTTTCTTCTAGGAGTGTATTCATGTTTATTAGATTTTAGGCCATTTGAATTCTCTCTTTTTTTTTTTTTTTGTAAATAAACTTTTAACCTTTTAACCAACATATATATTTATGTCTCTTCCTGGGAATATGGACTAAGACTATTGATGGCTTGTTGGCATGGGTGTACCGTTCAAATGGTGAATTAAGAAATGAATACTTTAAAATATATTAAAATAGAACACAGTTATTTTAAATTGTAATAATATTTCACCGTTTTCACTGTATTTTGATCAAATATATAAATACAACTTTGGTGAGCAGAAGAGACTTCTTTAAAAAACATTTAAAAAACAAAAAAAAACAACCCCAGATTGTGTATAGGGTCCGTGTATCATCCGATCATTTGATTTCCGATTTGATATGAAATAAGCAGAAATGAGAAAACGGCACCTTTCTTTTCTTTTCTTTTTTTTTTTCTCAAAAAAACGAAAAAAAGAGATTTCGGCTTGATTTTTCGTTTTTTAGTTCACAGGCAAAAAACGAATGACTTCAAAATTCGTTTTCCACATGTGGGCGGTCATGAGACGCCCCCTTGCGCTGATTGGTCAAGTAAATCTGAGCATTTGACGTCATCAGTCGTCGCTCAGGTCTGTTCAACAAAATAATAGTCCTCAACGGTAATCTACCCATTAAGGATGTTATTTGTCTTTTTGAAAACCCAAACAAATCTTTAGAATCTACTGGTAACTTCCTTATCCTTGTGGCAAACTTTTACTTTCACAAACAAAGGTTTCTTAAGAAAATTCCTACTTTTAAAGATTTCTTATGTGAAGTAAAATATTTAATCAAATCACTAAGAATAATTGATAATAGAAAATGTACTTTTTATGTACCATGATTAATATCTGTTTGCTGTTTCTTTTTTTCCCTTTTTTTTCTTCTTTGTTTAGCTCTTTCCATTTTTGTGCTATGATTGTGCATGAATGTAGCCTGGCTAACGCCAGACCCAATTCTCGTTTAGACTTGGGTCTGGGAACCACATGTACATTTTCTCGTATTTGAGGTTTGGTTTACGAATGCCCGGCCGTTTATTGGGTGCTAAGAATGTCTAGCAAATGCAAATAGAGGTCTCTGCAGACGGTAATAGGAGTTACCAGATCAGGGGGCGAGGCCATAAACAGAGGGGCGTTTTCAACCGCGTTACCTGATTTGCCCACGTCACAGTGTGGGTAGGTCTTAGGGGTGGGGTCAAAAGAAGGGCATCATTTTCATTGCATGATTTATAAACACACACCAGTGTGAAAACACCCACAAATTTAGAAACACCCACTTTTGTTCCGCAGAGACCTCCTACTCATCAAATGCGCCTGTACGTAGCTCATAGCCAATCGTTTCAATTATACCAGATGACGTATGCAGAGCGACAGAAATTAGACGAGGAAGAAGACGATGGCCGATGGGTCAGAGATTTAGCCTATGTGTACACGATGGTGTGTATCTAACGGCCGTTTCACACCGCATCCGTGAGCGGCGCGTATGTTAATCAATGAGTGCATTCACACCGGGAGCAGGAGCAGCGCGTGAGCGTCGAGCAGGAGCGTCGCGTGAGCAGCAGTGAAGCGGGGTTTCGGCGTCAAATCTGTTTTTGCTGCACTTCTCCACGCTCAATTAAAGTGAAAGCACACTTTTGATGAACAAAAATAAATATGATTTCACACAAAAAGTGCCCAAAATGCACAGAATAAGCATGTCTAGTGAGTTTTAACAAGAACTTGAGTAGGCAAATAAAAGAAAATAAAGACTTCTTTAATTTATATATATATATAAACTAAAGTAAACTAGCCAGAAAATATTATATGCGTTCTTTTAGTTTATGTAACACACAGACAGCTACAGGCTAGCACAACCCAAATCAAACCCGAGTGTGTGGTTTATTTGTGTGTTTTGTTTTTTATCCGCGGAGTTGCAGTCGTGTAAACATATCGAAAGTATGACTGAAACTAATAGATTGAATTTGGAGCCATTTTCTGGGTTGTTTTGTTGTTTAACATTTAACTTATATGCGAATGTTGTACACCACAACATTACAAACTTTCAAGACTATCAATGTTATAAAATGACCAGCTTCTAAAGACAAATGTATAGTTGTCTTTGTAAAGAATTGCTCGCTTATAGAGCTTTGGAGCCGCTGCTGTGACACTGTACAAACGCTTCCAGTGTGAATACTCTCGCGCGTCTGCAGCTGTAGTGACGATGTAGTTATAGTGTGAAATCTATGTGTGAAACGACCAGGCTGCATCGAAAGGTAACTTCGTGTCTGCTGCCATGTTGGATCCATAAGTATAAACAAACTGCTTCGGTGTGTCGCATAGAGGTCGTCATCGTCTTGCTGCTCCCTCCCCGTTCTGTGATTGGTTCCCTAAATGAGGCGAAAATCTGGACCATGGTATCCATACTGCCTTTCAGCGTGAATAAAATCGCGCTGCGGGAAGGCAGCATGGGGAAACCCAGACTAGCACGAATGAGTTTACTTGTTTAATATATACATTGTTGGAAATGTTTTAGATTTCTAAAAGATTTGTGTTTGCACTATTGTAATTTTTTTTAAATAAAAATAAATAATAATAATAGTCCTGTACTACCGCTTCTTAAAATGTACAGGGCAGGTCCTAGATTGGGCTTTCTTGTGCATTAACGCGTTTCACAGAAATATTTACATCAGAAATATTAAATATTAGTCTGCCACCAGCCTGTTTTATTTAGCTGTGCGGAGTTAAATCAATTTAAATTGTTCAAAATTAAGTTGGCCCAACTCAATAATTAATATTTAGAATTAAAAATTACCAAAATTGAGTTAGCCCAACACAATTTAAATTGTTCGAAATTAAGTTGGCCCAACTCAATTAAATTAAGTTGACCCAACTCAATAATTAATATTTAGAATTAAAATTTTCGAAAATTAAGTTGGCCCAACTCAATTTAAATTGTTCAAAATTAAGTTGGCCCAACTCAATAATTAATATTTAGAATTAAAAATTACCAAAATTGAGTTAGCCCAACACAATTTAAATTGTTCGAAATTAAGTTGGCCCAACTCAATTAAATTAAGTTGACCCAACTCAATAATTAATATTTAGAATTAAAATTTTCGAAAATTAAGTTGGCCCAACTCAATTTAAATTGTTCAAAATTAAGTTGGCCCAACTCAATAATTAATATTTAGAATCTAAATTTTCTAAAATTGAGTTGGCCCAACTCAATTTAAATTCTTCAAAATTAAGTTGTCCCAACTCAATAATTAATATTTAGAATTAAAAATTTTGAAAATTAAGTGTGCCCAACTCAATTTAAAGTGTTCAAAATTAAGTTGGCCCAACTCAATAATTAATATTTAGAATTAAAATTTTCGAAAATTAAGTTGGCCCAACTCAATGTAAATTGTTCAAAATTAAGTTGGCCCAACTCAATAATTAATATTTAGAATTAAAAATTTCGAAAATTAAGTTGGCCCAACTCAATTTAAATTGTTCAAAATTAAGTTGGCCCAACTCAATAATTAATATTTAGAATTAAAATTTTCGAAAATTAAGTTGACCTAACTCAATTAAATTAAGTTGGCCCAACTCAATAATTAATATTTAGAATTAAAATTTTCGAAAATTAAGTTGGCCCAACTCAATGTAAATTGTTCAAAATTAAGTTGGCCCAACTCAATAATTAATATTTAGAATTAAAAATTTCGAAAATTAAGTTGGCCCAACTCAATTTAAATTGTTCAAAATTAAGTTGGCCCAACTCAATAATTAATATTTAGAATTAAAATTTTCGAAAATTAAGTTGACCTAACTCAATTAAATTAAGTTGACCCAACTCAATAATTAATATTTTGAATTAAAAATTTAGAAAATTAAGTTAGCCCAACTCAATTCAAATTGTTCAGAATTAAGTTGGCCCAACTCAATAATTAATATTTATAATTAAAATTTTCGAAAATTAAGTTGGCCCAACTCAATTTAAATTGTTCAAAATTAAGTTGGCCCAACTCAATAATTAATATTTAGAATTTAATTTTTCTAAAATTGAGTTGGCCCAACTCAATTTAAATTCTTCAGAATTAAGTTGTCCCAACTCAATAATTAATATTTAGAATTAAAATTTTCGAAAATTAAGTTGGCCCAACTCAATTTAAATTTTTCAAAATTAAGTTGGCCCAACTCAATAATTAATATTTAGAATTAAAATTTTCTAAAATTAAGTTGGCTCAACTCAATAATTAATATTTAGAATAAAATTTTTCCAATATTGAGTTGGCCCAACTCAGTTTAAATTGTTCAAAATTAAGTTGGCTCAACTCAATAATTAATATTTAGAATTAAAATTTTCGAAAATTGAGTTGGCCCAACTCAGTTTAAATTATTCAAAATTAAGTTGGCTCAATAAATTAGACTCGACCTATGCATTGCAACGAGAGATAGTATCCAGTGTGAAGCACTGCCTCTGGCGGTCATCCAGAACTCATAGAACCGCAGTTACATACGTAACTCTAGTTTTCTCATTTCTGCTTATTTCATTTCAAATTGGAAATCAAATGATCGGATGATACACTGACCGTAGTGTATGAAAACATTGTCCAACCAAATGCTCTGTAGAAGGAGAAATTCTCATCTTCTAGCAAGAGCAAAAGCTTTAATATATCACATTCCAACTTCTTGTTTCATTAGAAAATACAGAAAAGGAAACTACACTCAGACATTTCTTAGGGTCTTTTAGTTGTCTTGCTTTCATTATGTATTTACAGCAAATAACTTAATAGCTCGTAAATAAGAGTTATATTTCTAATGTTGTTGCTATTGTATGACTCTCCTACAGACAATTTT